AAAAATAATAAAAAAATAATAATAATATTTTTTGTAAGTTACAAAATTATATTTTTTTTATTGTTATATAATATTTTTATAAAAAACATAATGTTTTTAAAACAAAATAAATTAAAAAAAATATTAAAAAAATAATTAGATTGCTACATAAATTTTAATTAAAAATAAAAAACACAGATTTTAGGTAATTCAGTTTATTTTTATATGTTGTATGTATGATTTTTTGTAACACTGCAATAAATCGAAAATATTTTATTTATGCTAAGCTTAATGTAATTAAGTTTATTTTTACACAAAAAAATTATTTATAATAATAAACTAAAAAAAAATATTTATAAATTCATAGAAAAAATTCATTCGGAATTTGTTTTTGTTTTATAAAAAAAAAATAATTATCATTGAAAAAAATGAAACAAAAATAAATGAAATATATATCACAGGGTTGTATTTATTATTATTTTTTTTAATTAAAATCAAATAAGTTTAATAAACATATGCAACTATTTTATTTAATTGTATACAGAAATATTTTATTGGTTTCATTATTTTGTTATGGGTTCCGTTTTTCTTTTCTCTCTTTTGAAACATTTTCGCAAAGAAAAGGTTTAGAAAAAAAAAATGCTCGCTAACAAAAGCTCAAAATTCATTAAAAATTTACGAACATAAAAATATGGGGCTATAATAATTATTGATTATAAATTGTGGGTTGTTTATATACAAATAAGTTAATTTTAGGAGATATTTTTTTTAATTACACATAATTAATATATTTTCTTTATCTAAAAGCTTATTTTTTATGGAAATAAAAACTATGCCTTTCTACATTTTTTTTGGGGTTTGATTGGGGCGTTTGTTTTTTATTTTCTTTTTTTTTTTTGTAAATTTTTATTTAGTAAAAATTTCGAAAATTGCTCGTAAATTTTATTAAAACCTTTTTTTTTGTTAATGTCTGTTCAAGTTTTAGCCTCTTGCACGTGTTTGTAATTCGCAACGTACATTTGTGTAAATCCAAAAAATTTTTGTCTATTTTTTTTGTTTAAAAAATTTTCGTAATATTGCACCAAGTCCCAGCTTAACTTGTCAGAAAAAAATTTTTCTAGAAAAATTCTTTTGGTTGTTATTTTCTGTCGCTTAAAATTCTACATTTTCTTTTCGGTTTGTTTATTTCACTACAAAACATCTATTTTGAATGGTTTTCAAATACATCTATGGAATACATATTACCTCTGGCTTCATGCTTTTCATATTTCAAATCCTAAGACTTTTTTGCCAAACAACATTTTGTCGTTTCAAATTTGGCACTCAAATCTCTTTTTTTTAAATTAAAATAATAAAAAAATATATTTGAAATAAAAAAATTGAGAATAAAATGCTTTCGAAGTGGAAAAATACTAAAAGTGGAAATTAAAAAAAATTAAGTGAAATGGAATTTCAAAAAAAAAAAAAATAAAAAATAAAAATAAAAATTCGAACTAAAAATTAAAAAATAAAAATCTGCTTGAAATTCGATCGTATTGAAATTATTTTATATTTTATATCTACATTTTTTCAAATAGGCTTTTTGCAAATAACCCGAAAAAAAAAACTAAAAAAACTGAAAAAAAATATCCAAGTAACCGGTACAAAAACTCGAGTAATCGGTTCCAAAATCGTAGATGTGGAATTAAAAATCAAATAAGATTTCATTTTATTCCAACTGCTAAAATTTTCCGCCATTTAAATACAAAAATAATCGAGTAACCGGTTCAAAAATTTGAGTAATCGGTTCCAAAATCGTAGATATGGAATTAAAATACAAAGAAAAATACAATTTTATTGCAACTATTAACATTTTCGGCCATTAACCCGAAAAAAATTACGAGTAACCGGTTCGAAATCAGTGAAAATCGCTTTTAAAAATGCGGATTACCAAATATTAATACTAAAATCAATGTAACATTGTCAAAAACCGCACAGTTTTCCATAAAAAAGCGAAAAAAATATATGAGTAATCGGTTCTAAAATTCCAGTAATGGGTTCCAACTGCATGAATATGGAATTCAAAAGCAAAGAAAAATACATTTTTATTAAGATTTATAAATATTTTCGCCACTAAACCAAACAATAAACGAGTAACCGGTTCGAAATTTGTAAAAATCGCCTTTAAAAATACGGATTACCAAATATTAAGGCTAAAACCAATGAAATATTGTCAAAACCCGCACAATTTTCCACAAAAAGGCGACAAAATTCTTGAGTAACCGGTTCCAAAATTCCGGAAATGGGTTTCAACTGCATGAATATGGAATTCAAAAGCAACGAAGAACACAAATTTATAACGACTAACGAAATTTTCCGCCACTAAGCCAAAAAATGAACGAGTAACCGGTTCGAAATTTGTAAAAATCGCTTTTGAAAATACGAAATATAAAATATTAAGGCTAAAACCAATGAAATATTGTCAAAACCCGCACAATTTTCCCCAAAGAGGAGAGAAAATATTTGAGTAACCGGTTCCAAAATTCCAGTAATGGGTTCCAACTGCATGAAAATGGAATTCAAAAGCAAAGAAGAATACAATTTTATAACGGCTGTCAAACATTTCCGCATTAAAATAGAAAAATAACCGAGTAATCGGTTCGAAAAACGCTTTCAAAATATGGACTACAAAACATTAGGGCAAAAAACAATGAAATTTCGTCAGATCTCAAACCACTTTCCCATAAAAAAACCTGAAAACTATTTAGTAACCGGTTACAGAACTCGAGTAATCGATTCCCAAAAATTCAGATATAATTAAAATCAAATAAGTATATAGTTTTGTTATAAATTACAAACGTTTTCCCATTAATATTGAAAAGTACCCGAATAACCGGGTCCTTTAGAAATGGAAAAATTACCAAGTAACCGGCTCGAAAACTTAGGTAATCGTTACCAAGGTAATCAATATTTCATAAAATTTTCCATAAATTTAACAATAAGACCGAGTAACCGTTTATGAAATCGAGTAATCGGCTCGAGACAAACATTTGTTAATTTAAAGCGGAAAAATATTCATGTAACCGTTTCTAATACTCGAGTAATCGTTTTAAAATTTTTCGATATGGAATTTCAAAGCTAAGAAAATTATATCAAATTTAAAAAAGGACCAAGTAACCGGTTCGAGAATTTGAGTAATCGGTACCAAAACTCTGATTATGAAATAAAATAATTGCATTGTATACAAAACTAAAAAAAATTGACATGAAATGTTCAATAAATTCAGGAAAATAACCGAGTAACCGTTTCCAGAACACGAGTAATCGGTCCCACTATCGGCAATATGGAATTCCAAAGCAAAGTGAATAACAGAATTAGCAAAAAAAAGATCAGTTTCTTGTAGAATTTGACAAAAACGACTGAGTAACCGGTTCAAAAGTTAGAGTAATCGTTATAAAAACCGTGAATTTGGAATTGAAAATTCGCAATTTAAACAACATTAACAAAAATTTGTAGAAAATGATAGTTTGATAATTTGATTAAATAGCCTAGTAACCCTTTAAGAAACTGAGTAATCGGTTCCTTGTTTTTAAAAAATAAAATGTGGGCCAATGTTAAAAATTGAAAATAAAAAAAATAATAAAAAATTAAATATTCTAAGAACATAAAAAATTATTTTTAATTAATTTATCTAATTTCCATTTCACTGTATTTTTTAAGAAAAAATTGAATTTATATATTTAATTTTTTTTTTTAAATTTCCACTCCTCTAAAATGTACCCGTAGTTTTAAAAAAATTGAATTGTGAAACATTTGTTACTTAAATGTTTTATTCCTTTGGTATCGACATGTATTTGAAAGCATTTTTTTCTTAAAATATTTTTTAATAAAAAATATTAAGTAATAAAATATTTTCTTAATAAAAAATACATTTTTTACATATTTTTTTATTAAAAAATATTTTTTTAATAAAAAAAATTTTTTTAATAAAAAATTTTAAAAAAATTTGATAAAAAAATATTTTATTAAAAAATATATTTTTTTTATTAAAAACCAATTCTAATTAAAAAAATATTTTTTATTTAAATAAAAAAAATATTTTTTATTAAAAAAATATTTTTCAATCAGAAAATTATTTTTTTAAAAAAAAAGAATATTTTTTTTAATAAAAAAAATATTCAAAAAAAATATTTTTAATAAAAAAATATTAAAAAAATATATTTTTTTTAAAATAACAAAAATATTTTTTATTAAAAAAATATTTTATTATTTAATAAAAAATATTAAATAATAAACATTTTATTTATTCATTTGTTATTTATTTTTTAATAATTTTTTAATTGCAAATATTAAATAAAATATTTTCTCAATAATTTTTTTTTTGTTATTTTAATAAAAAATATTTTTTTATTGTTTTTTTTATTAATTTTTTTTTAATATTTTTTTCATTAAAAAAATGTTCTTTTTTAGTAAAAAAAAATTTCTAATTAAAAAATATTTTTTAATAAAAAAAATTTTGTTATTTTAATAAAAAATATTTTTTTTTATATAGAAAATTGTTTTTAATAAAAAAAAAAATATTTTTTTTAATAAAAAAATATTTTTTTTAATAAAAAATGTTTTTATAATTTTTTTTTTCATAAAAACAAAAAAATCTTTTTTTTTTGTTAAATAAAAATCCAACAAATTCACATTTGATTTTCAATATATATATTCTTTTTACGCGGGCCAGCAGAATTTTTTCTATCCTCTCAATGATGATAGCCGTAAAATGTTAAGTAATGGAATATTTTTTTTTTGTATAACAATAATATTTGTTTTATATAAAAAAAGCTTCTTATTATTATAAGATATAATAAATACAATTACATGATGATTCTCTTAGCATAATTAAATTTTCTTAATAATGACTTCTCCTTGGCTAAGCTTAATAATTTACTAGGAAAAAATAAAAGAAATTAACAGCATAATTTTTTAAGAGCGTTTTGTTTTGGGGGTGGGGCCACCAACTCAAAAACAAAACAAAAAAATTACAAAAAAAATAATTACAATAATATATACTAGGCAATTAATAATAAATTACAAAATACATTATTTTTAGGTTATATATAAATTCAGTCACTATCATCGGTATTCGGGGAACCAAACGATGAGCTACGGTCATGGATTAACATCGATAAGGTCTCTAAACTGCGGCGAACCTGCAAAGAGAAAAGAGAGATAAAAATTAGTTCAAAATACGATATCAAAAACTAAATGAGTCACATGTGGTATGACACCTGGGATACCCTAGGGTATGGCAGACACCACCACGAGCAAAAAAACAAAAAAAGAAATTCCAAAAAATGAGTCACTGGATTTTTTGAAAATTTGTCACTTTCTTTTGACTATTTAAAAAAGGGTATCATATGATTGCCCTTATCGCTCTTCATGTGGTAAAAAATTAATGCCTCCTATTGGCGATCGATCAAATTAATTGAGTTATAATTTGACACAGAAATAGAGTCCGAACAAAAATATAGGTTTATGGGAAATATATTCCAAGTGAAAACCTCAAGGCTGGTATTGAATAAGTTTTTTTTTTTTTATTTTTGGATTTTTTTATTTTCGATTTTTTTTTATTTTTGGATTTTTTTATTCTTAATTTTTTTTATTTTTAAATTTTTTTATATTATTTTTTTTTTTAATTTTGAGAATATTTGATATTGCAATAACACCATCAACGATTACCGAATATCAAATAGATAAAACAAAACAATAAACAATTTCTTTTAAATAGATAATTTTTTAAAATTTATTTTTTTCCAAACAATTTTTTTCAATTAAAAACACTCCTAAATCCCCCTCACCACCTCCTCAGCAACGACCTATGGCAATAGACGGCCAACACGCTTTGATAAGCAAATGCTGGTAGTCGTTTTGAATTTTTTTATAGCTTTTTTATCGATAGGCCAAATGTCAAGATATGAAGATTTGTTTTTATTGTTGTTGCAATAGCAATAACAAATAATAAATATTAAAAAGAAAAATATCAATAAGCCGAGAATAAATTTTCGGAAAGCCTTAAATAATCAAAGATAGTAACAGAAAATGACTGATAATTTTGTTATGACAGCTAAAAATCATTGATGGGAAGCTAGATATTTGTTAGGCTACAAGAAACAAAAGCAAAAAAAAATAAAAATAAATAAAATATCAAAAAAAAAAAATAATAATAATAATAATATATTTTTTTACTAAGAAAATAAATAAAAAAAATATTAAAAGTAAAAAAAATAAATAAATAATAAAAATAATTAATCAAAATATATTAAAAAATATATATATATAATTTTTAATAATAAAAATTAGTTTTGTAATTATTTATCTATTTTTAATTTTTTGAATTTAAATTTTTTTTTTGAATTTCAAGAATTACAAAATTAATTTTATAAAAAGTAAATATTAAAAAAATGAAATATAAATAAAAAATAATTTCGAAATATTATTAAAAAAATTAACAAAGTTATATTTATAATATTAATAATATTTTATATTAAGAAATTAAAAAAAGAATAAATAATAATTTTGGAAGTTATTAAAAAAAAATAATCAACAAATTAAAAAAAATAAAAAATTAATTAATTAAAAAATGTTGTATTCAAAAAATAATAAAAATAAAGAATCACAAAAAAAAATTAAATGAATAAAAAGCAAACAAATATATATATTTTAAAATTTACTTAGAAAATGAATAAAAAAATTTAATAATAAATTATTTAAAATATAAATACAAATAAAAAATATGAAAAAAAATAACCAACAAAGTAATAAAAATAAATAAAAATAACTAAAAAATGTTGTATTCAAAAATAATAAAAATAAAAAAACACAAGCACACAAAAATAAAAAATTAAAAAAAATAACTTAGAAAATAAATGAAAAAAAAATACAATAATAAATTATTTAAAATATAAACACAAATAAAAAATATGAAAAAATAATCAACAAATTAAAGAAATAAATAAAGTTAAAAATAATTTAAAAATTTTAAATTTCAAAAAAAAAAATAAAAATAAAGAAACATAAACAAAAAATATATAAAAATTAAAAAAAATCTTAGGAAATAAAAAATTTCATTAATAAATTATTGAAAATATAAATACAAATAAAGAAATATTATAGAGATAGTCAACAAATTAAAGAAAATATATAAACAATAAAAATAAATTAACAATGTTGTATTCAAAAAATAATAAAATAAAGAAACACAAGGAAAAAATAAATAAATAAAAATTAAAAACAATTTTTTTAACTTACTTAGAAAATAATTAAAAAAATATATTAAATAAAAAATAAGAAAAAATAATAAAAAAAAAAATAATTAAATAATAAAAATAATTTATTCAAAAGATAATAAAATAAAAAATATATAATTTTTTATGTATTAAAAATTCTATTTGTAATTATTTATCTATTTTTAATTTTTAAAAATAGTTTTCGAATTTTGAAAACTACAAAAGTAGTTTTAGAAAACATAAATAATAAAAAAGATAAATAATAAATAAAAAATAATTTTGAAATATTATAAAAAAATAATTTAAAAAATTAAAAATTTTGTATTCAAAAAATAATAAAGTAAAAAATATATAATTTTTCTTTTAAAATAAAATTATTAAATAAAAAGAAATTCTTGGAAAATATTATATTTAAAAATTTAAATTTTAGAAATGAAACAATTGTATTAAAAATTAAATTAAAAAAGTAATTTAAAAATATTTCTTAAGAATTTTTAAAAAATTGTTATTAAAAATTATGATAAAAATTAAAACAAAAATTATTAAAAAAATAAATAATAAAAATATGTACATTGAACAAAATATTATATTTTGAAATATATGTACAAAATTAAAAAAATAAACCAATTTTTAAAATATTATATTTAAAACATTCAATTTTTTATATAAAAAAATTTTACTATTTAAATGTAAAATTAATTTAGAAAATGGAAAATTTGCATAGAAAATTATTATTAATATAAAATAATATTAAAATTTTTAAAAAAATATATATATTTTTTATATTAAAAATTCTATTTGTATTCACAAAAGGTAAAAAAATGTATATTTAAAAAAATTCAAAAAAAAAAAATACTTTTTCTTTATTTTTGTAACAAAAATTTAATAATAATTTAAAAATATTATTTAATTTTTTTATTAATTTTTTTGTTATTATTTATATTTTATTCGTTAATTTTCATATTTTGAAAATGGTTTATTCATTTGAAAAATGTTTTTGTTATTTTGTTTTAATAGTTTTAATTTTTTAAATATTAAAAATATTTATTACATTTTAAATTAAAAAGTAATAATTTTTTTTCATAATAAAACTCATAAAATTTAATACAACACTGAAATTACAAATATTTTTTTTATTTATTTTTTATAAATCATTATTTTTTTTTTTGTTTTTTTGTAAAAAAATAATATGCTTATTTTAATGTAATATTTTTTTACTATGTTTTTAAATATTTTCAAAATTAATGTTGTTTGTATTAAAAAATAACCAAAACATTTTCGAAATGGAAACAAAAATTAAAAAAATATAAATATAAAAATATAAATAGATATACATTTATTTTTTAATATGGAAAAATTTATATAAAAACATAAGAAATTAAATTATTATTTTTTAAATTAAAAGTTTTAGGATTTTTAATTATAAATTGCTAAATTATTTTTTAAAGGTTTTTCCTTTTGATATTTTTTTTATATATTTTTAAATAAAAAATATTTAATTAAACTAAAAATATTTAATTGTTTTTATAATGAAATTATATTTTATTTTTATATATTTATTTAAAATTCCGAAAATGTTTTTGTAATTTTTTAATATTGTTTGTAATTTGTCAAATGTTTAAAAACATAATTTAAAAAATATTATATTTAAAATATTTTTTAATTATATTTAAAATATTTTTTAAATTATGTTTTCAAACATTTTACAAATTAAAAACAATATTAAAAATTACAAAAACATTTTCGGAATTTTTAAAAAAAATATATAAAAATAAAATATAAAATATAATTTCTTTATAAAAAGAATTAAATATATATTTCTTAATTTCATTTCAAAATTTATTTTGTTTAAGCATCATTTTAGAAGGATGACTTCAAAGACAAAAAAAAATCTACATCAAATTTCACCAGCAGTCACCAAAAAAAGAATTCTCTATTTCCATTGCATATCAAAAAAATTAAATATTCCCCGAAATTATTCCCTAATTTTTGCTCGATTTTTCCTCAGACTTTTTTTCGAGTTGACAGGTGTCAACCCTTGAAATAAATACTTTTAAGATTAAAAAAAAATTGATTTTTCTCCTCTTACCTTAGCGATTTGTTCTAAATTCGTTTTAAGTATATTCTGAGCTTCTTCAGTGCTTTTAACTTGCAATTGTTTTTGGAAACGTAGGGCCTCGGCAAAAATGTCATCATCGTTGCCGGAATGCTGGAAAAATAAAATAACAAAAAATTCAATTTTATTTGAATCTTAAACATTTTATTGCCTCCTCCCACTCACCCAATTAAATTCTATAGGAGATCGATAGACGCTCGTTTTCGCTTCTATATCTAATATCCGATACAATAGGAATATGGTGAATACAGCCAACAAAACGGTGAGCATGGCGCCCAAATAGACCACATGGACCTCAGTGGGAAATTTCAGATTGACCATCAGTTTGTTGCCCAACTGGCGGAACTTGTTCAGGACCTGATGGGCCTTTGAGTGTGGCATTGCCATGACGGTGGTGGGCGATGACGTCGAGGGTGTGGGTGTGGTCGACACCGATGTTGTTGTTGAGGTATTGCCAGCAATAAATGTGAGATTACTACCCTCCAGAGCCCCAGCACAGCCAATGGCCGTGGCCGGTCCATTGATGGAGGATACAATGACATGACCTATCGCCCCCACACCCCCACCGTTGGCATAGGCCGTCGTACCCGCCGGGGCTGAGGAGCGTGTCTGTAGGGAAGCTGTTGTATTTTTGGCATTTAACGGAATGTCAGAGTGCCGTTGTTTCTCGCAATCGGCCATACTAAGAGTCGAAGCACCCACATTGCGCCTCAGTAACGTCGTTTGACTAGCATCGTTGGGGTGCTGTTGCGCCTGCTGGTGGTTGGTTTCATTTGTGGAATTGGCATTGTCGTTCGCCTGAGCCGGACTCTCGTTGCCGCTTATCGAACAGCTGCTATCATCTTCGACTGAGTATTCTTCGGAAATTTCAATGCTAACCGGATCTTTGGGTAGGATTTCAATGGTACCACCCAGCGGCTGGCAGACGCTGCACATGAGGCGGAAGGCCGCCTCACGGCTAATGAAACTGCCAAAGACATGGCGTTCGTCGGCGGTGGCCACACCCACAGCATTGGGGATTATTTTGGCCGTTTTCTCTTTGGAAATTTTCGTCACCGAGCCTGTGGGTATAACAACCTGGGAAGAGGGAGAGAGATGGAAGAAAAAATATTAAATTTAAAACTTTGAGGATTAGAAAGCTTTTAAAACTTAAGAGTTGTATTTAGCTTGGAAAGCGTTCTATAAATTATAAAAAAATCTATAATGAAGCGATAGAGACTTGAAACACCCTTTCCTTTGCGAAAGCATAGAATGAAAGCTTTTTTATTAAAGAAATCCATTTTTAGAATAATTCATTTTAAAAGCTTTTCTGGTAATTGAGGTAATTTTATAGCCAAGGCCACAAAACTTTTGAGTTTTAGGATAATTTAAAAGCTTTATGAATTAAAAAAAGCCTTCTTGGCACGCGAAGAAGCTTAGTTGCTCAATATGTTTACAAAGCTTTTGAGTTTCGAAGTTAAGCACAAAATCTTTTAGATTAAAAAAATCTATTACATTTTGGTGGAAAGTTAAAAAAAAGCTTTTGTGATTGAAGGGCTTAATAAGCTTATGAAAGCATGTAGAATATTAAATAAAGCTTTTTGGACGAAAAGCTTGTGCTTAAAGGCTTTAGATAGCTGTTTTAAGGTTTTTGGTTTAAGTAAAAGCATTTGTGATATAGCTTTAAAATTTAAAGCTTTTAAGGCCAGAAAGCTTTCGTGCATTTTTATTTTTTTTTTCTATCACTACAACCTTCTTTTTGATCTATAAAACAATGTTTGGTCCCAAAAAGCTTCCGAAACTTTAAAAAGCTCATAATTATTCATAGCTCAGGATAAGAGCTTTTACATTTTGAGGCCAGAAAGCTTTTGTGAAGTACTATTTTTTAACTTTTTTAAAAAGCTTATGGTTATTAATTGTTTTGGATAAGAGCTTTTACATTTTGAGGCCATAAAGCTTTTGTGAATTTTAACTTTATTTTTAATTTTTTTGGCCCAAAAGGTTTCCTGGCTTTGAAAAATGATGATTATTACAATTTTGAATAAAAACTTTTATGATTATTTCATTAAATTAAAAGCTTTTGGGGTTGAACTTTGGGCCAGAATTTCCTTTTTTATTTTGTTTGTGCTTTTTAAACTCTTAAAGCTTTTTGAGACCAGAAAGCTTTTGTGAATTACTATTTTTCAACTTTATTTAATTTTTTTAAAAAGCTTATGATTATTCATAGTTCAGGATAAAAGCTTTTTAATTTTTTATATAAGATTATGCTTATTCATAGCTCGGGGCTTTGAAAAAATGATGATTATTGAAATTCTGAATAACAAATTTTCTGATTATTATTTCATTGAATTAAAAGCTTTGGGGTTGAAATTTTGGGCCAGAATTTTGTTTAACTTTTTTGGTGTTTTTTAGAGCTTTTTGAGTTTTGGAAGGATTTTTTAAGTCTACGTAAGTTTTTTTAAGTTTTTAAACTCTTAAAGCTTTTTGAAGACAGAAAGCTTATGTGAATTACTATTTTTTTAATTTTTATAATTTTTTTTAAAAGCTTATGATTATTCATTGTTCTAGATAAAAGCTTTTACATTTTGAGGCCAGAAAGCTTTTGATAATTACTATTTGTTAACTTGTTTTTATCTTTTGGGGCCCAAAAGCTTCCGGGGCTTTGAAAAAATGATGATTATAGAAATTCTGAATAACAACTTTTCTGGGTCGAACTTTGGGCCAGAATTTATTTTTTTTATTTTTAAAGCTTTATGAGCTTTGGAAGGATTTTTTTAGGCCTAAGGAAGTTTTTTAAAGCTTTTTGAGACCAGCAAGCTTTTGTGAATTATTATTTTTTAGTTTTTTTTACAGCTTTTACATTTTGAGCGCTTTAACTTTTAAGGACTAAAAGCTTTTTGTGTTTTAAAAGCTTTGTGAGTCTTGGAAGATTTTTTTAATTCTAAGGAAGTTTTTCTTGGAATCTAAGAGCTTTTTAAACTCTTAAAGCTTTTTGAGTTGTGAAAGCTTGCAATAAAAGCTTTATGTCTCAGTTTTCAATTTTGAGTTGCAAAATTTGTTTGATTTGACAGCTTTTTGCAGTTTTTTTGTTGCCCGAATTTTGAAATTGTTTTGTCCTTAAAACGTTAAAGTCCTTTCAGACTAGAAAGCTCTTGGGATTTATAAGCAGATTAAATTTCAGAAAATATTTCTGAAGTTTCTTTAACTATCAGTTGCCAAAGCTTTCGATTTTTTAAAGATTATAGGAAAAGCTTTTAAATATAGAACTTATTTTTAATTATTTAGAAGGAATACTTTTTTTTGAAAGCTTTTGTGCAAATATCGGCGTCTTTGGGTCACGACTCCGAAGTATTTAAGTTTTACTTTTAAGGACTAAAAGCTTTTTGTGTTTCAAGGGCTTTATGAGTCATAGAAGGTTATCTTTTGAAGTGTTTTTGGAATCTAAGAGCTTTTTTCTGACTTGTTGATATTATTGAAAGCTTCAAATGAAAGCTTTACCCTAAAAAAAAAATAAAATCTTAAGTTGCGAAATTTGAATGAATTTTGAAAGCTTTTAATGCATTTTCTTTTGAAAGCTTGCAATGAAAGCTACAGCATGAAAAAAATTTTAAATCTTGAAATTTGATTGAAATTTGACAGCTTTTCATGCACTTAAAGTCTTTTGATGTCCGAATTTCGAAATGGTTTTGTTCTTCAACTTTAAAGACTTTTCAGATTTTAGCTTTTAATCTTTTAAGTTTGAGAAAACGTTTTTAGGGTTTCTTTATATTTTAAGAGCTTTACGATTTTTGAGAGGTTTTTTTTAATCTTTGAATCGAAGAGCTTGCAATAAAAAATTTTAAATCTTAAGTTGCGAAATTTGACAGCTTTTTATGCACTTAAAGCCTTTTGCTGGCAGAATTTCAAAATTGTTTTGTTCTTTAACTTTAAAGACTTGAAAGCTTTTAAGTTTTACAAAACGTTTTTGGGATATCTTTATATTTTAAGAGGTTTATGATTTTTGGGGTTTTTTTAAATCTTTGAATCGAAAAGCTTCATCTGACTATTGGAAAAAATTGAAAGCTAGCAATGAAAGCTTTCGCATAAAAAATTAAATGTTGATAGCGAAATTTGTTCGATTTCAAAGCTTTTTTTTTGACTTTGAAAAGCTTATGATAAAAGCTTTTTTCTCACAAAATATTTTTTTCTTAGAAAAAAAATAAAAATTTAAATAATTTTTATTGTGTGTATGTGTGTGTGGAAAAAAAGCTCACCTTAGTAACATAACCAAAAACATTTGAGTAAAATGCAAAATGTTTATCTGTTATATAAAGATGTCCTTGCAGCAATATATCACTGACTAAAGCACAGGAAAAATCTAAAATGGAATTAAAAAAAAAGAAGTTGATACATTTTTGAATAGAGGATAAAAAAGCATTTTTTGGTTTTTTTCCAAAACTTACAGTTGATTAGCTTCTCATCTTCCGACACCTGAGAGAAATGCCTTTGGAACTTTTTTACCCTTGAACTGGAGACCTCCTTGCGTTTCTTCTCCTTTTCCGGTGGTGTAATATTCTGTTGGGATGCCAACCCACCGGCCGAGGTGCTGGCGGCAACAGTACCGGCCGGCGGCGCCGCCGGTGATTGCTCATGTTTGGCCGTGCTGCTGCTGTTGCTGCTTGCGCTGCGACGTGAAGGACTTATGCTGCGCAGGCTGGCCGACGATGGCACCGATTGCAGGGGGGCCAACGATGTGGAACTGTGTTTGAGAGATCTGAAAAAAGAAAAACAATTTAAAAAAACATTGCGTGTAATAATCGGTTTTTAATTTTCTAAAATTGTTGTTTATGCTGACATTTAATTGGCCTTTAATTACTCGACAATACAATCATCATCAGCCATTTGGATAACAACATGAAAACATCAAAGCCCCCAGAAATCCGACAGCCAAATAACCGTTTTTCAAAATTGACATAACAAGTTTTGTTTGGAGAACAATAATAATGGCGTGTTTTTCTGGTTTCGAAAATTTCCTAATCGAAATGTGAAAACTCATGGAAAATCGAACTGTTTTGCAATTTGTTGCTATTTGAACTGATAATCATACAGCCAGCCAACCAGCTAGTCAGTCAGCAAACTGCCCTGTAATTCAAATTGATTTTTGCTTTTTCAAATTGTAATCGTTTTAACCTTTGAGTTTGTTATGGCGGAGGAAATACAACACAAGATATAACAACAATAGAGGAAATTGATAAGTCATTTCCAGAGACCTCAGAAAATAAGCGGTGGGGGAGGGATTTTTTTTAATTTTAAAATATTTAGTGTTTAAAACATTTTGCAAACCATGAATCGATTCTCAGTCAGTCAGTTATTTTACTACTCTTTTATATATTTAGAGGATTGTAATATAATATTCTTATCTAATTTTATATATATATATATATATATATATTATATATATATATATATATATATATATATATATATTATATATATATATATATATATATATATTTATATATATATATATATATATATATATATATATATATATATATATATATATATATATATATATTTTTTTTTTTTTTTAATTTTGTTAGTTTCTTAAATATTTTTTCCTAAATCTTAAAAAATTATTATTATTTTATTTCCTTTTTTATTTCATAATCGTAAATATTTCTCCTTAAATTTTTAAAATTATTTTTGTTAAGTTTTTCATAATTTTATTTTTTTTTTAATTTTTTACTTTCTTAAATATTTTTTCCTAAATCTTTAAATTGTTATTGTTATTATTTTTTAATTTTATAATCTTAAATATTTCCACTTAAATCTGTAAAATTATTATTTTTTTATTTTTTTAAATTCTATGAATAATTAAAAAAGTCATAATTTATATATATTATAATTTTATTATTGTTAATATTTAATTTTTTTTTGATTTTTTTATTTGAAAAAAATAAAAATTTAAAAAAAAATTTTTGAAGATGAAAAAAATGTTTAAAAAAATATTTATTACAAAAATTTTAAAGATATAATGTTCTTAAATAATTTTTTAAATTTATATATTTTTTAGTTTTTTTCCTTTTTTATATATTTTTTCCTAAATCTTTAAAATTTTTTATTTGTAATTTAAATGTATTATAATTTTATAACTAGTATTATTATTATTATTATTATTATTATTATTATTATTATTATTATTATTATTATTATTATTATTATTATTTTAATTTCATTCTTTTGTTTTGAAAAAAAAACATTTTTTTTCTGAACCAAAAAAAAAAGTTTAAAAAAATATTTATAATAAGATTTTTAAGGATTTAATGCTCCTTAATAACTTTTTAATTTTTTTTTACTTTATTAAATATTTTTCTTTTAATCTGTAATATTATTACTAATTTGATTTTTATTTTAATTACTTTAATTGTTCATTTTTTTAATTATTTAAAAAAATATTAAAAAAAAAATCAAAATAAAATAAAATTAAAAAAGAATATTAATAATAATAATTTTATAGACTAAGGGGAAAAAGTAAAAAAATCGAAAAAAAAATATTTAAGAAAATTAAATCTTTAAAATAATTTTTATAAATATATATTTTTTTAAATATTTTTTTTTTGTTTTGAAAATTTTTTTTTTCAAAAAATTATTTTTTTTTTTGATTTAATAATAATAATAATTTAAAAGATTTAGGGAAAAATATTTAAATAAGTTAAAAAACATGAAAAAATTATTTAAGAATATTATACAGGGTGAGATGAAAACCAACTTCAGACTGCTGTCATTTCTAAGCCACTCGTCCGACAGCAAATGTGTACTATAATTGTACGAAATGTACTAAATGGTACTATAATTAGTATTAGGTGAATGGATAGAGCTGAAATCCTCAAATGTGATATTGTGCTTACTGTTGGTATCTGGAATTGAAATTTGCGGAGAGTTAGGAAATGCGTCCTATATTTGTACGAAAGGTACTAAATTTGGTGTTGAATGAAGGAAAAAAGCTGGAAACCTCAAATTTGATATTTAGAAAATAGTTTTCGAAATGTGTACTATAATTGTACGAAAAATTACTAATATTGGATCATCTGCCGAAAATTTAATCTTGAGGTCACTGTTGTTTTCCAGGGTTTACATATAAAGACGTCTGAAAAGTTTAGTACGATTTATGTAGTTTTGATAAAGAAATTTTGTCAAACTGAAGAAATCGTGCATTTTGAGTACCAAAACGGCCTAACATGTATTGTTGAATCGATTTTAAAATTTTAGGGTGGACTTTACGCTGACGAAGTAGCGGTCACTTTTTTGTATCCGATATAAGGGTACCTTTCCATATTCGGTGTTTTGATGATTTGACTTTTCACCGGAATTTTCTCAAACTTGGAATTTGTAGAGGGTACTAACCTCCTATAACAGAAAATTACCCCTATATGACCACATCTTTGTATATCCCCCATATAAGAGTATCTTCCCATATTCGGTGTTTTGCCCATTTAAGGCACATTTTTTAACGGAATTATCTAAAATTTTATATTTCAAGTTCGTAATAGACACCACCCTGGCCTTGGAAGGTAATTGGCTATTTTTCAAAGAAAAAAAAAAAAAAAACAAAACAAAAAATTAAAAAAAAGATTTTTTTTTAAATGTTTAATTCAAACAAATTATAAAAAAAAATTTAATTTAAAAAAAAAATTAATTTTTTAAATTTTTTTTTAATTTTTTTTAAATAAAAAAAAAACAAAACAAATTCGTTTTTTTTGAACAGAAATGGTGTATTTTTTAAGGAAATAAATAATTTTTTTCTAGAATATATTTTTTAAATTTTTATTCGAAGACATTTATGGTTTGAGGTGGTAAAATAATTGCCATTTTATGATGCAGGACACGTGATAAAGCACTTTTATTGGGCCCGAAAGCTCTCTTCTGAGATAAAAAACACTTTCTCCCGTATTCGAGCAAAAGTACCTCTTGTGACGCCAAAAGTTAAATGACATTTGGCCAAATGTTTGTAAATATTATATATTTTTTTTTATATCAAAAAAAAAAAAAAGCAAAACACAACAAAACATGTTTGTTTATTGATAAACAAGGAAACAGCAGCGTATTCCCATTGGCTGAGCAGCTCTGGAAGTAGCTACGCGGCGTGTGTTTATCATTTATTATCTTTTTTGCCGGTTGTCTAGTCGCAACGCGGCGAGTGGGTCGATGTGTGCAGTCTTATGTCTGTCCCAAGACAATCCCCCTTTCAGTGAAAACACTTGGCAAATTTTTTTTATTTAATTTTTTTTTAATATTATATTTTTAATTGGAATTTCAAGAGGGGGAGCAATTGATTACGTCATAGTTAAGAATCCGTTGAAAAAATTATTTTTATATTTTTTTATATTTATTTTTTATATAAAAAATATATATTATTTACTTTGTTATCTATCACCGCCCATACGACACATACGTTGTTGAAAATATTTGGCAATTAATTTTTAGAAGAAAATAAATTCCCTCTTTGCCCTACTTCCCTGCCTTTTTCACTGACCTGCCAGACAAACATTTTCCGACTGCATTGGAGATTTGAAAAATTGAACCTCATCAGCGTATCCGTTAATACCTTCACCAGATCAATCAAAACAAACAATAATTTGCGTCATTATCATTATTTAGATATTTCGGAAGTTTATTTTCCAGGGAATATTGAAAGAAAACGATTTTTAAACAATCCAAAAAAAAAAAAAAACAAAACAATAATATTTTTTGATGTTTTGATTAGATTTCACAGCGATACGGGAGAATAATTAAAACTTGAATTGAAAAACGGTAATCAAAAATATCAGTAATAATGACATCACCTGTGATGACATACTTTAATTTTAAGAATCAAAAAAAAAAAAAAAAAAAAAGACAATAAATCAAATTTATTGTTTTAAGCAATTTTGGTATTTTTAAAATAAAATATTTAATTTTTCAGGGAAAGAAATAATATTTTTTAATTTTTTCACATTAGAAAAATTAAAATTTTTAAGAAAAGAGAAAAAAGTCATTTACTAATTTTTATGCAATTTTAGTTTTAAAAAATAAATTTATTAAAAAACAAAAAACTTAAATTTTTTAACATTAAAAGAAAAAATAAAATTTTTAAGAAAAACCTATACCAAAAACTTATGTTTTCAGATATTTTAATAATTTAAAAAAAATTCTCAAATAAAAAACCAATAAATTTGTTCACATAAAAAAAATTAAATTTTTATATTTTAAAAAAATAAATATTTTTTTTAAATAAATATACTTTTTTTTTAAAAAATAAATATATTTTTTTCAAAAAAAATTAAAATTCATTCATTTAAAATTTTCAATTAAAAATTTTAAGAAAAAAAAAATTAAAAAAAAGATTTTTTTTACATTAGAAACATTAAAATTATTTAAAAATCATTAACTTATGTTTTAATCATTTGTAATGTTTTTAAAATAAATAAATTTAATAAAATAAAAATAAATTTAATATTTTCAGAATTTTAGAAATTTATTTGAAAAAATAGAGTTTTAATATTTTAAAAAATAAATATTTTTTTTTAAAAAAATAAATATTTTTTTTTAAATAAATATATATTTTCAAAAAAATCAATTAAAAATTTTAAGGAAAAAAACTTCAAAATTTAAAAAAAGATTCTTTTTGTTTTTAAATTAGAAACATTATTATTTTTTTTAAATAACTTATGTTTTAATCATTTGTAATATTTTTAAAAATATATAATCCTTTCAGATGTTTTTGAAATTTCT